TTTTGTTACAGATAGTACACAATAAAAATGTTTTCAAATTACTAAACCAACTAACCACAGATTGCAGTAGTTAAACATTGCATTAATTACTGAAATTGTATTGTTCTGAACTTCTTGTCAGAGCACTATCCATTGACTCTTAATAAGCCAGTTGACACTATTTCAGAAAGTTACACTGCAATGAACTGTATGAATTAACAATTTTCGCTGTAGTATGAAGACAGTCATTACCAGTGCAATGGCCTTTGAAAGTTGAAGTATTACTTTTTTCTGAGACATTGCATTTTTTTTTAAAATTTGGTCTTACGGATATTTTAAAAAAAAGCACCGACTCTGAACATATGTCTTTCAGTAAACTTAATTCACAGTTGGACTTAAACTTTTTGAAAATTTATACTCCTCATGTTACCATAGTGTTGCTAATGTTATGTATGTAGTTGTTGTTATGGTTATTGTTATTAGTGTTTAGTTAAAAGCACCGTAAACTTGGATGTGATAAATTTGAACAAAACTGGTTTGCATATAGCATTTATTCCTCCCAAAAGAATTACTATAATAAAAGTCATGCAGCCATAATGTCTGTAAGGTAACGTCCATAATGTAATGTCCATAACAAAATGTCTGCAACATAAAGTGGGCTTCATTTTTTTCAGTGTTTTTCTAGGATTTTGATAATTTACTGCACTTAAGTTTGGGCCCCTAAAAACAAAAAAGGAGCCAAGCTTACAAAAAAATGAATTTTATTTTCAGAGAAAAGCAAAAACAGATTCTTTTTGTTACGGACATTACATAAAGTCCATAAAAAATTGTTACTTGCTCTTGTTTACGATGTACATCCATTTTGGAAATATTCTTATCTGCAGGTTTACCTTTGTGTTGAATTGTATTAGTTTTGTTCCCCTGGTGAGATTTTGGGAATAATTGTGTCTTACTTAAATCATTTTAGATCTTACAGCTTGTCAGCTATTTTCACCCTCTTTTCACTAGAAAAAAATAAACAGCCTCTATTTGCCATTTTCTGTAAAGTCAACTATCAGATTACTATATTTTAAAAAATTTAGGGTCTCCTCATTCCAAAAATCCATGACTGGGCTTGATATGAAATATTTTAAATTTCACCATTTAAGCAGTTCTAAAGTGGAATGGCAGTCAACTTCTCTTGAATGAAAAATATTTCCACTGAGGTTTTCCTCTTAAAGAGGGGGTGTGTGTAACTTAACCCACAGATGGTGTAACTTTCAGTACATGTATACGGAACATTGTAAAGAAACGGTGTTCAGAGTAACTTAACTTAAAAATCAGCTACCTAGGAGTTTTTTTGATAAAAATGTGCAATTCCCTTTTCTAATCTATTGGTGGACGTTAAGAGCGATGAAATAGTTTGAATTCTGCCAAGTTGTTTTCCACCAAGGAAACAAATGGGCAAGATTTCCGCCAAGCCCATTATGGCAAAAACTATAGATTGTATTTGGGACTGTAGTTTCGTGTTCAAACAATATGGGTTTATATGGAGATCTTTCCAAGAGAAAAAATGGAAAGTTATGATCGTAAGTTTGGATAACCCTTAAACTTGTCTTATGCTCCTAAATGGAGGTGCTTTGAACCGAGCATCAAGGTCAGAGTAGTATTACAAATCCAATGAGCGAAGGGCGAGTTGAAAAAACAGTTCGGCTTATTGATTGTAAAGTTATAGCGAAATAAAAAGGTCCAAATTTTACTTCCAAAAGTTTGGATGAAGCAAAACTCATTTCATTTTGTCTCACTAACCTGCAAGCAAGTCCACATGAGGTACATTCAAAGCTAGCATCTCCCAGATTAATAAACCATAAGCAAAGATGTCTGCCTTATCTGTGATAACTCCCCCCTTCAAAGCTTCCTTACATTTCCACGGCTCTGTGCCGATGTATCTACCTCCAGGATTTTTCAGTCCGCTCAGATCATCATTCAACCACAGCGCCACTCCAAAATCGCACAGTTTGACAGCCTCAAAATCACCCCTTATAAGAACATTACCACTTTTGATATCGCCATGGAGGATCTTTTTTTCGTTGTGTATATAACTCAAGGCATTGGCAACAGACCAAGAAACTTTCAGCATTTCATCGTAAGTGAAATCTTCTTCCAGATACGCTTTTTCTTCGATAATGTCTTCGAGAGCTCTCTCGCAGTCTTCCATTGCAAGGCAGAGATCGCCATCCACACTCCCCGAGATGGCACGAAAACCGACAATATTTGGATGCTTCAGTTGTTTCAAAATGCTTGCTTCTAGAGCGAGTCGTTCGCTTATCCCTGATCTTGCCTTCTTATTTACTTTTTTCACGGCCCAAGGCGATCTAATGCTGTTGTTGCTCGGTTCGCGTTTGAATCGATAAACCGAAACACCCGTGCCATGACCGAGTCGTGTCATGAAAGGAGATGGAGGAATCATGAAAGGAGACTCATTGTAGGGTGACATTTCGGCCTCCTCGCATAAGCGACTTCCAAATCTTTGGCTCACTGGCGTAGAGAGGTCGCCCATGTTCGAAAAAGAGGCGCAAAATGGTCTCAGTGCTGTGACATTAGTAACTCCTCTCTGCCTTTTAGCAGTTTACAGTTGTCAGATTTCAAAAATTCCGCCTTTGCTATTGGTCAGGGCTCCCAACGGTTCATGGGACTAACACAGCGGTCAAAATGATTGCACATGCGCACCATAGGTAATAATGTCATAACAGTAATCATGAAGAACTAAGTGAGACGTTGTTTTCCGCAGTTTCTAGGGAAAGTTCGAAGTTTCTGAGGCCAAGACTAATACACATTGTTGTTCTGGACTTTACCCACTATGCGTTAGTTTATACTTTCGTGCCTTTTTTAACACTCTGCACGGCGGCGTGATGAAGTCGTCCGTGAACTTGGCCGTCGGCTGGCTGTTATTCTTTGCTGTGTTCTTAATGGAGTTGCCGGTAAACGCCGAAGAAAATGTGTGAAAAACAGAGAGAACTAGAAACACACGAGATATTTGTAACGATCACAGGTCTATGTTTATAGCGGACAGTAGACAGTGCAGCAAGTAGTGTGGAAGAAGGTTTTGTGGTTTTCCTTTATCACCGAAACGAAGCGTCCGCGTTTAAAACAGTTGGGATATCGCACTATAAAATAAAGACAAGAGTTAATCTTTTCTCCAAAATCTTTTTCCATTTGTCTTACGCTTTAGAATAGTTTGGAGTTTAAATTAATCTCCTTTTCCCGACCATATTAACTTTATGCTACACCCCTCTTGATATTTTCAAACTCACGTGCATGCGCGTTGTTTGACCGCTGTGCTCATCGGAGTATATCAGACAAAGCCGCCATATTGACTTTCTTTAATCGTTCTTGGATCTTCCAGGCGCTACGAAATTGGTTTGATCCTTTGTTTTGGCGTTTTCTAGTCATGTATCAGCAAGAATACAATCAGAACTACGGCCAGCATGGATCGTACAACCAGTATGATGGACATCATGGTGGCCACAACAGTAACCTGGCTGAGAATAACTCATATGCACCTCGCATTGTTTTGGATGATCATAACAGTGACCTGAACTTTGTAGTTGAGCCCGGTGGTGTGACAGGATCCAGTTTGCACCAGGATGGCTTTGAATATATGTGGGCTGGAGCGAGGGCAACTCACGGTGTGCGGACTGGCAAGGTAAAAAGATTGATTTATTTGGAAAGGTATATATATGTGCAGGATACCCATAAAAATTATTGTCGGAAACTCGGTGGACTTTTGTTATTTTGAGAATTCTTAATTGTGTCTGGACATCCTAAGGGAATATCCGATCACAAATCGAAATGTCAATGTGTGAAGGATGTAGTTGGAGGTCTAGTCAGTTGGTATGAATTAATTTATTGGCGGCAAGATTTCCCTATAACGCCATACCTCATTGCGGTTATTTTTCTAGATCTAAAGAAAGCTCTTGTTACTGTTTAGCAAAACACTCCTATATGTAAGCTTGACCTTTATGGTATATCTGCGAATTCACTTATTGGTTTCAGTTGTATTTGGAGAATTGCATATAACAATGCTCAGTTAGTGGGTCCTTATCTAACAGGCATGTATTAACCTGGGGTGTCCTTCAGGGGACCATCCTCGGTCCACTTGTACTCTCATTATACATAAATGACTTTCCAATTGTTTTTCAAACTGTGAATCAAGTATTTAGGCAAATTACATGCATATCACATATCCAGATAATGATGTAGGCAACTTTGAATCATGTGCATACTTGGTTAAACACAAACAAACTTACTCTAAATATGACTAACACTGAATTTATACTGCTAGGATCTGGCCAAGGGCTAAATACTCCTAGTGCTTCCTAGTCAGTCACATTGATTATAATTAATATATAAAATGGTTTGATCCTTTTTTTAATAGCTAATCAATTGCCAGTGATTAAATAAAGTTTACTGATTGATTGATCATTATGCATATAGTCATTTGCTTATTTAAAACAATGCTAATAACAGTTGTTAAATCATGTAGTGCTACACAAAAACCTTTCCATATCACTCAACAGTTAATGGTGAGCTAAGGGTTTTCTTTCTCGCAAAGAGCAATCAGATTGTTAGCTGAATGCAAGACTCATAGAATGTGTTAACTCTTGCCCTGATAAAATTTGTCTATTGACAGTCAACGCTCAACTAAGCTTTGCCTGATTGACAGTGTGATATCTATATCCCATAGCATGAGTTTGTAATAATCAGAATGGACTTAATGATACTTTGACTATTGTCGATTTGTTAAATGGAACAAAATGATAACTATTAAGTCAAAATACCAAATAAATGTTGTTGAAGAGATTTAAACAAATGCAGGAGTGATTTTTAATAACTAAAGGGAGGAAAAATTGTAAAGGCCAGACTGATTTTGGTTGAAAATGATTTTGTCTCATTAGAAGAATTCCTTTTGGTTCATCACAACCTGACAGGTGTGCCTTGTCCTGGTGGATAATATGCCATGTGGCTGAGACTTCTTGTAATGCATGTTACATAGCTTGTTCATTGTCAAATAATAAGTACAGTGCTTTGCCTTGCTTTAAGTTCCTACTGTCGTCTTTTTTATGATTTGCAGGTATGCTTTGAAGTTCGTGTGCTAGAAAAATTGCCAGTAACAGTGCCAGAAACAGAAACAAATCCACATGTTGTGAGGGTTGGATGGTCTGTAGATGAAGCAAACCTGCAGGTTACTGTTATTCTTGATTTTTTCCTTCTAAAAGTAATTTGTTGAAAAAATAATTTAAAGCCAAAATATGCTGAATTTATCCAGGAAGGATCCATGGACAACAAGTCTGTTTTCCAGTCTTCGATTCTTTTCAAATAAATATCCAAGCTTTCTTTTTCAAATTCTGCTGTTTTTCAAGAGAAATGAGCACCTTGCCCCTAATAAGCACCCTCCCTTGTGGCACCTGAATTAAATAAGCGTCCAGGTGCAAAATCGAATCATTACTAATGGTAAATTCGTTTCTTCACCTGTACCATATACAACATATATGATGTACAATATACAACAGGGGTTAAGTGCACTTCTCTCATGAAAGTTGACTTATAATATGATTTGGTCGACAAAATGACTTTTATCATATATTAAAGTTCACA